CCCCAAAACCCCAAAACCCCAAAACCCCATCATTTGGAAATTTCAAGATATTTGATATGATGATTGATTATTTTAGAATTCTAAAATTAATGTCTAGATTTATCTAATATGGATATTCAATGCCTTATTTTTTCAGAATGTCTAACTTTTATTCCATACTCATTTTGAATCTCAGCCATTTGACTATATCTCGTTGTTTTACTAAGATTAATTTTTCTAACGTCCTTAGGTCCCCCTTTTCCAACACCTCTAGAATCATTACTACTGTTTCTATTCAAACTAGTTGAAACACTTCCTTGTCCACTCTTTATTTGTGTGAAATTTTTAAGACTCGTACTCTGAATCAAATTATTAATGTTTATGCTGCTTCCTTCGGTTTTTGGTTGTCTATTTGATAATAATTTGTTATTAGAAGCCTAAGTAGATAGTAATGTATCAGATGTATCTAACTATTGCTTTAAAGCAGGGATAAATATATTTCTCTTGTGGCTTTTCAATGTCCTCTGAGATTAAGAATGATCAGGAATGGCATTATTATAAGAGGCTCCTCTGGAAAATGGCCTGATTACTGGATGATGATTCAGAGGTGAAAGTGGATTCATTTTAAGAGGTTCCCTTATCCTCAGATTGTGATTTGGAGTCGTTATTTAAGTTCTTTCAGCCTGCATATAATCAGAACCTACTTTAAGTAAATTCTGCCTCAATTTATCTCTAATACTATCTCCTATTGTCTAATTAATATTTGCTTTATTTAGCTTTGCCCCTTTAATAGTTTTAAATTTTGGAATGATTTCTGAGAATATCTAAGTCTCTGCATCTCCTGATTATACGTCGCTTGTGGTTTAATTGCCAAAGAATGCAGTTGGATTCTGATAGTTGCGAGACTTTTTAACGTTAATCAAATCTGAGATAGACTAAGGGGAGGTAATTATAACTTGATGATTATCATTATTGTGATTAAATGATAGTGTTGAGTCCTAGTTTTCATGATTATGGTCTTTTTTGAATTAAAATTTGGCTTCTTCCATGTACTTAGACTTGTGGTTTGCATCTTCTATCCGAATCATCACATCACTTTTTAGGCTTGTAATAATGTTATCCTATCCGTTATGCGGATCGGAAAGTAGTAGATTTTGACCATCTTAGCTTTTAATGTACTCGTAGACGTCTGGATATGCATTACTGCTTACAAAGTTTCCCTCCTATATTAAATATCAATGAGACATAACTAGAATGGTTTATTTTATTTAATTTGAAAAAGAAAATGATGAATAAGTATTACCTATGTTCTTTACTAGTATTTACGTTTAGATATCCTGCCTGGAAGGCTATCGAATTCCCTCGATGAGCATTTTTCTTTATCTTTCTCAACTATTTTAATTCCTGCTTTTGGATCTTTGAAGTGATCGAACATACTTCCTGCAGCATTTATCGTATTTATAATGAATTATTTCTACTGGACTAGTTTTGCAAGTTTGTTGTAATCAGATGCCAAAGTACCTAAAAATCGAATTATTATAATAACTGATGATACCTGTCAGTTGATTTTCCTCAAAAGGAACTTTTGAAGGTCTCTCTTTCTTATTCCTAGACATAGCTACTCTCTTATTTTTGAACTTAAACTTTATTGACACCTCATAGTTTTGTGTCTCACCAATATCAACGTTTTTCTACATTAGAAGATTTCCATTATAATCAAATGTATAATTCTTGTTCTCTATGCTTTTGTTTAGCTGCTCTAGTTCTATTTAATTTCTCTGCTTTTCTATAATTTTATCTTAGTGTTCTCGTTCGGAATGCAAGACTCTCTGTTGTTAAGCGTACAACTCATATCTCTTTTACTCGACTAGCTCTTCGCAAACCTCAAGAGTTCCATTATCTATAACATCCAAAGCATTTTTTGGAGGTTTTTGATCTTCAGTCTCAAATTGTGAGCTAAACTTCATCGATCTTCTTTTGTTAGATTTAGCTGACCCTATGTGCTGATCTGATTAAACTTCGAAAAATTTTTCTGATAACTTTTAACTTAGCATCTATCTCATTTTGAATAGATTTTATTATTAATTGAACAACTTAGCTTTAGCTAAATAATCAAAACGTTAGTTATATTTTCCAAAATTAGGAGTGCTATGGACATCTTTTTAGCTACTACTAGGTTCGAAATCAACTAATTCCTCTTAGGAAACATCTAATTCTCCTTCATCTCTGGCTAGATTGAAAGTAAAGTCAATTAGATCCTTGGCAAAATTCAAGGAATATTCGATTGAGTAGTCATTTTTAATAGTATCAATGTCATTGAAAATGTAGATATTAAAGCAAACTCATTTATATATTCTATCTATTATATAATTAGCAACACACAATCCATCACTAAAGGGATTTAATTGGTGTGGAATTTGATCTGTTTGTATGATTTGCTTGCTTATTTCAAGACTAGTATGCCCACTGGTTTTACTTCCAAATAAATTAATGCTTTTCATTTTATGAGGATAATATGTAATTTTAGAATATTTTTCATGGAGTTTATATCTTGAAAATTACTAAATAACTCAATAGCATAATTCTGGCCTAGTGGGGTTTTGGGGTTTTGGGGTTTTGG